AAACTGCATCTACAGATTTTCAGGATCAAATTAAGCAAAAAGAATGAAAAGAAGTTTACTTTTTAAAAATATAAATTTGTAATTATCCAATTAATTTTTAACAGTGTATAGTGTTGACTCCAGTCCAGGGCCTCGGTATCACATTGATGCAAGAATCACTCGATTTGGAAAGGATGGCACACCTGCATACTCAATGCTGGGTAAAGTCAAAGCCCAGAGTAAGTATGCTTTCCTTCATTATTGGAGTTTATTTTAAAATTAATTGTGACATATTGTATATCAGTCAGATCAATAGATTAGTGAAGAAAACATGTACTTTTGACCCTTCTGGAGAACCCCATGTGATTGTCTTCTGCTCACTAGAGGAGCTTTTCCACACACCAGGACCCGGTGCATACAGCCCTGAGAGAGCCCCACCATGCAACCTGCAGCGCAGACCTCCATCCTACACCATGGGCTCTCGCACACACTACCGCAGTGTTGACTCGGTCCCAGCTCCCAACAAGTACTCTCTACCGCCACTTATGGGCGCTCAAGTCCCAAACAAGGCATCCAGTGCAAGCTACACAATATCAGGTGGTCTCAACATAGGGGGACCATCTGAGGATTTAGCCAAGACTCCTGCGCCTTGCAGATACAATAGTACAGACCCAAATGTTTATCTGCTCCGACGGCCAGCGTTTTCCATGTCGGGACGTCACAGTTTACCCACAGATGGCACCAAGAAACCAGGTCCAGGAACATATGATCCAGAGAAAGTTACCGCCCACAAGGCCCGGGCACCAGCCTACTCCCTGGGTATCAGACACTCAGAATTTGTTACTCCACTTATTGTCAATATTTCTGACTAAACAGTCATCTGAGAGAAAATTACATCATTCTTCAATTAAATAAAAGGAAAAGAAGCAAGTATTAAGGAATTAGCATATTTTATTTGTCCAGTATCAAAGAACTTGACAAATCAACCATAACGGAGAGCCAAATGTATATCAAGAAATAACATATGCACATAAAATACATACGTTTAAGGAATTATCAAGAAATGTTTTAACAGAAATGTTAGGGATGTCATTGGTTTGAGAAAAATAAAATCATATGCTCATATGGCCATTAAGTAAATAGATCAGTCTTGACAACATTACACCTAAAGATAAAAAAAAAAATTGTACAATTGACAGGCAAACTTCCACCTTCAAATTGTTTTAAGTTATCATTCACAGTGAAAACAAGACATTTGTCTCTCATAACCTCTAAAAACTGAGGAAATTTGAATGAAGGAACACAAAAATATATACACACAAAACTACAGGGCATCTACACAATATATCAGAATACATATAGATTTATGTGCAGGACAGATATAGGATCGAAAGACAATACATATCAGCAGAGGAGATAGCAGGTATTTTAACAGACAGCTTCCCCTTTAATCCTTTGGGAGAGGCCTTCTGAAAAGCAGTATGTGTGGCTCTAGGGAGTAAAGCAAGAAAGGATCTGTCAGCATCATCAGTAAGTCATCAAACACAGTTAAGCCTACAGCTGTACGTCGACTACACCCAAATTTGATTGGGGCCAAATAATGCAGTGTAGAAGCTGTACAATGACAGATTCAATTCTTATGTCAACTTTAGCACAATACTCATATGCTGTTGAAAGTATAATGAAGGGGTTTCAAACACAGGGACCAGAAGCCAAATCCAGCTCAGCAAATGCAGAGCCAAGTCAAAATTTTGTTATCAACTTTAGAGTTATAGTTATTTTGAAATTGAAGTAAGTCAAAATCTTGAGACAATAACCTGAAATTTTAGACTTAGAGCTTTTTATTGTCATTGTGCTGTTTCTTGCACAGCGAAATTGGGTAGCTGGACCACAAAGGTGCAAAAATAAGAAGAGAAAACAATATACAACAAGGGGGGAAATAAATAAGAAAATAAAATAAAAAGCAATATATATGTATACATATATGTGAGTGAAACTATATACACATGGTGTATGCGTAAGAAACATTGAAACAGAAACATTGTGGGTCTGTATACAAGGGCAATTATAAAATATAATAATTGAAATGGTATGGATGTCAAAAAACGTTCTTATGTTTGTTTATTTTTACCAACAATAACAAGGTTCTATAGGGTAATTATTAAATGTTTTTAGTCAGTAAAACACCTTGCTGTTACCAGCGTTTCTTCACATGACTGATCATTTATGGACATTTAATTCAGATTGTTTTGTTTTTTTAATGATCCAAGCAAACAAACAAAAAAACAAAAACAATATTGCTTCTTTCCAAAAAAGATTAACACTTAAATCTTCTCTAATTTTGTATATTCACTGTGATCTATACATTTTAATATATCTTCCTGGGAACCAAGGAAAAAAAGAATCTTCCCATTGAACTTTTTTGTGATTACCATCCTCTTTGGAGCTAAAAGAGGCCACCCAAACACATGGGATATCAATGGAAAGCCCAGAATGTCCTCTATTTAGTCCCTCAGGACTTAGTAGTATAGCTCAAATAAGTCAAAAGATATAGACAACAAATGCCTATTACAGAGGACATAAATGAATGGGCTGGTTCTCAGGAGGATATGTCATAATGGTACTGGCTGTTTTTAAAACAAACAAACAAAACACCTTCTTGAAATTGTGCTTATTTTTCTTACAGTTTCTCAGGGTCTCAACCATCTCTCCTGTGGATGTACTACTTCTTACCCACACAAGATCAAACTAGGCTCTTATGAGTTTGACCCTGATATAGGGTCACCATGAAAATCACCCTGATATAGTCATCCCTCTTCTTTGATATGTATACCAGGAAGAGATCTGTTCATAATGGCCAATAGAATACACACCATGTAAAAAGGCTGAGCTAAAGCTAAAGGCTTCAGCGTAGAGTGAGCAATGTTATGGCCTGTATTTGTATAGCGCTTTACACTACATTCAGTCATTCACACATTGGTGATGGCAAGCTACAATGTAGCCACAGCTGCCATGGGGCGCACTGACAGAGGGGAGGCTGTTATAGCTTTTTTATAATAGCAACCCTGATCATTCCCTGGAGACGCTTTCCTACTCAAGTGACAGTAAACAGATGGTGAAATGTCTGGTTTAAAACAAAAAAGAAAAGAGCCCTAAAACACATATTTGCTTTTACTGTGCTTCGTAGTTTTCCAAAGGTTTGACAGATACACAGAAACGTGGTATTTTCACCACCTTCGATTCAAAGAATGATGACATCAATTTGTAGTTCTTTAGATGCACACATGGGCGTCTGATTTAATTTTCAAGACAAGACTGAGGAAAAATGTGAACTTATCCTTGACACCATGATTACTGACCTGGTTTATGGATCATGTAGTGAATCCAGCCCTGACTCTGTTGGACTCCAAGTCCTCTCCACTCTTCTTCTGTCATCAGGTGGGAGGAGGGCACCAGTTTGGACAGCTGCTTGGGAAGCACAACATGCCTGAGAATGGAAATATAACAAACATATTGTTAATTGCCTACTAGGGGTCAGAGAGTTTATTTTGATATATTTTAATATCAACTGCTAACGCTAACACAAGAAGTCTCAATTTACAGCGGCAATAGGTTATCTCCACCACGTTCAAAAGCTACTTTGACCTTAGCTAATTACTCGAACTAAATTAACGGACTCTTGAAAACGTTAAAAACGTAATACCTGTACTCGAAGTCGTCATCGGTGTACTTGTCAGAATAGAAAATCTGTTTTTTCGACATCTTCAGTTAACAAAAGCAACAGGACTGAGCTTCAAAGAGGTGATATTGGATAATGTGAAGCAAATATGTTCGCTAGCAGTATCTACAAGCTCAACGAGCTACTGTCATCTGCCGCTGTTTTCTGGGGATGATTCAAACCCCAACGGTTACCCGCACTCCGCTGATTGGTCAAAGCAGCAGCACGCGGACTTAACAGGATCGTCTATTCAAAGAAAGATGACTCCCTCCGCGGGGAAAACACAAGCCTTGTGGCGAAGCGCTATTGCGATAGAATTTCTACATTTAACGGTATATTAGGAATGGTTATATCTGATTTAAAAAAAAAAAAAAAAATACGTTTTTGATTTTTAAACCCAAGGTTTGTGATGTATTTTGAAAAGTTCGTGGTCTTTTTGTCAGATATGTTGAGAAGTTGACACAGTAAAAGATCTTCGTCTCTCAATTATCTCTGCTACGTAGTCGGTCTTCTGCAAGAGAGTACTTTTGACGTAGACGAGCCGGAGTTTGACAACGGAGGGTAAACTTTCAGGAGAAAAGTACACAGGGTCGGCGATGTATCCACTGGGGGTGAAATCGTATGTATGATTCACTTCTATACTTGCTGTTCGACCTGTGGTGTATTCACAACAGCATGGGAATATGAACACTTAGCATGGCTACATAAATTTTATTATTTTTAAAAAGCACTTTGGTCATAGAACACTGAACGTGAATATGGCAAAAATATTTAGAGAAGCATATCAGCATCATCAGTAAGTGATTAAACAGTACAGTCAAGCTGCAGGTCGTCTACACCCAACTTTCATAGCCAAATTTGATATATATGTTTTGTATAAATAGCATTATATTCTCAGTCTACTAACTTACTGCGAACTCATTTTACATTTTAACCAAATAACAGCTTAAATGTTCTGTGCTGCAGGTACCTTATGACGTTTTGTCGTATTAGGTTGTGTCAGTGGCTGCTAATGAGTGGTGTGTTATTCAGAGCAGGATTTGTTCCACTTGTATATGTAAATTCATGAGGTAAATCCGTTAACTCTTGACATACAGAGAAAAAAAAATGTGTGAATTAAATTGGTATCATTTTAGAATGAAAGTGGAAGTAAGAGTTTGAGGAAATAACATGAACACTTTAATTTTATACATGACACTGTTTTGCCAGGGAAAATGGGGAACAGAAAATACCGAGAAAGGCTACTGCATCTGTCAACATGCATCGATTACATCTGGTTTATCAGTAACTTTTTATACTCTAGCAAACAACCACTGCAGTGGTCATGTAGCAGCTTTCTCAGAGCCTGACACAGGTAAGATCCATGCTTCTTTCTAACTTTTAGATTGCAAATGTGTCAGTCGCATGCCTGTATAATCTCTTATCTTGTTACTATTGTTCTGGATGAATTGGACTGTAGTTTGTTTACTGTAGTTGTTCTAGAGTCGGTGTTGGATAAATGCCACGGTCTCCAGGTTCTCCAGATTCTCTGAAGCGCTGTAGAAATCCTGTGAATTACAGACCTTTCTTCAGCTTTTTGGCATGACAGCGTGTTGGGTTAGACACAATATATTTCTAGAAACTTGTTTTGGGGAATAGGTTTTCCTTCTGTCTTCTGTGTCAGTAACCTTTTTACTGCTTTACCTGTTTACGTGATTCGACTGAAAATCATCGTTTAACTCGCTTTATGTTTCTCACAGAGAATCCTGACGCCTGATGCGTACCTTCTGTTGCCTTTGTGTAAGATGGAGGAATGCAGTTGTGAGAGAGAAGTAGGAAAGAGATTGAACGGGGGAAAGGGAAAAAGAGAGAGCAGCTAAAAGGATCTTGCTGAGATGGCTGATTGTTCTCTTGGGAGACGGTTGGGAGGGAGATGGGAAGGGAATTCAGGCAGATGGAATAGGGTGGATGTTTTTAGAGATGGAGTCCCTTAGGAGAGTGGCTGCATTGTTTTCTTTGTGAAGTCTTTGCCTATAACCAGGATCAATTATAAGCATACATCCAATCATACAAAATTCACTTTAACTAAATGGACAGGAAATTTTCTGATATTCATCAACATCCAAACTCAATCCCCTCTTAAATATTTTAACTTTATATCTCAATATAGCTAGT